AAAAAAAATAAGAGAGGTGTCAGAAGTGAAAAAAAAAAAAAAAAAAAAAAAAAAAAAAAAAAAAAAAAAAAAAGACTACAGTTCTTCGATGGGGGTGTTAATTGAACACAGAGCTGGAGAGAACAAAGGGGTGTTAAGGAAGAGAAGAAGGGGAAAAATCCTACCTCCTCCAAAGATCTGATTTGAGTTAAGTTTGGTGAAGATAATGCACAGGGAAAGGTAGCTAAGAGGCACCTTATATAGCTATTATGTTCTAAAATTAAAAAAAAAAAAGACAACAAACCCATTATTCAACAACAATTGCACGGCTAATCAGTGCTGTCTATAAATATTCCACTTTGTAAATCCCCCCATTGGTGCTATGTACATTTTTCTTTTAGTCCTGAATTCCTTCAAACAGGAGGGAGAGGAAGGTAAGAAAATAAAAATTGTCAAGATTTCAAATGCAAAGTCAGGGTGTTTCTTAAGAAGTAGAATTTTCCCGTTGCCCTCACCTCCCCCAAATGAGCAGAGAAAGTGAAACGATGGGAAAAGCTCTTAAGGAGGAGGAATCAGATTAAATGGTCATATATCCTGTGCTCAGCCTCTCCCCACCGGTCCCCGCCGAACGAGATGGGAGTTGGGAAAGGCTCACAGCTGAAATAGATGCTGCTGCATTTTGACAGCAGATATTTTCCAGTTTGCCATCCAAGGACCCCACGTCTGCGTACGCCTTGCCTGATTCTTCTACTTAGCTATTCTGCTCATGCAGAGAACAGCTTAAAAAAAAAAAAACATACCAAGAGAGAGGGGAAAAAAAAAACAAGGAAAAAAACCCCAGCCATAAAGACAGAGCCCCTACCCCTGCCTTCAAACTTTTATAAATCAGGAATGCAATTTCCGATTTCAATCCCTATTGATGGGGGAATCAATTGTATTTAGGACAACAATGCCTCCCATTTCCATAATTATTATTCCAAAAAGCCAGCCAGCCAGCCATTTGAAGGCAGTCCTGCCCCTTCTCTCGCAACAAAGCAACCAACAGCAAGTGAAAACACACCAAATGAACGCCGACAACTTCGATGTATATTCAAGCAGCAATTTTTTTACTCCCCTGCATACTCCCGCCTGGATCAGACCTCTCAACTTTTATTACTTGTAAACAGACATCACCCCAAAAGCACCAATCCCCAGGTTTGCAGACAAAAGGCAATCCGGCAATCCCCTGAGCTTTTTTTTTTTTTATCATTATAATTTTTTAAAGTGATAATAAATACTTGAAAATAACTGAAGAGCCCAAATGCAAAAAGCAATTCTTTGGCCAGTAGAGATGACCTATTTTTCTAAGAACTTTATGGACACTTTGGGTTTGCTCAAGACAAGGTTAACACTATGAAATAGTAGCCATAATGTTGCGAGAGATGGTGGTAAAGTCTCTGTAAGGCTCTGGAGTCACTTAAATCAGGCAGCGGGGTAACCGAACGCACATTTCTGCACATCATAACGCCGGGGGGAAGATGTACGCACGCACTTTCAAACACCCACCAGTGACCACAAACAATCACCAGGATTTCAAACGCCACACATGCAAAAATCTGGGAAGCTAAATGGAAAGCGGGAAGCGAGAAGTTGGCTCAACTTTTACGCCACTGCCCGCAAGGAAGGGGTACGCAAACAGACGCAGGCGGTACCCTCGGCCCCAGAAAAAACAAGGCAAACTTCCTCCTAGCATTGGGCCCACAATGCAATAATTTAAAAAAAATAATAAAAATAAACCTAAACCATCTGGCTGTTTGCTTTCTTATGAAGTGTGACTTTTGGGGACGCCGATGGGGGGGAAGAGGAGAGAAGGTCTTTGAATTTGCAAAGTGAAAGAATTCACCACAAACATATTCAAGGGTAGATAAACAACGCTCCAAAAGCTATCTCGAGTCAACCTCTTTGGAGACCTCCACAGCACAGCCCCATAAGCCAAGTAATCCAGGTACAACACCAACAAACAGCATTTATAAAAATGTAAAACAGCCCCACTTCACACCTGAATGTCCTTATTTCCAGCAGCATGCTTCGCCCTATATCATCTCTTTCCATTTTCCTTAGCAGACAGGAATTATCACACTCTGTCGCTGTGGCTATGCACAGTTCCTCATCCCTCCTCAGCTCACTGGCACCTCACAGCATCCGTGAGCTCACCTAGCTTTCCCCACCAAGTTTGGTCCCAGCAGATTCCATGTTCCCTAACTTTGCCACTGCGCTGATAGCGAAGCCGAGCTGGGATTAAACAGCTACTCTGCCAAAAAGTGTCCCTGCACAGGCAGTGTATGGAGCATCAAATACAGCATCAAACACACTTAGAGCAGAAACAAGCAAAGGTTCCTTGGCTCACACAAAATTAAAGGAGAAAGAGAGAAGAGGGAAAGGAACTCGGTAGCTCCCTTTTCTTGTGGGGGCGCGTGGGGGAACTCTAGAAAATCCTGAACCTTTCTCTCCACATAGACTCTCTCACGTTACAGCATAAGAAGAGTTCGGAGGTCCCCATACCAAACCCACTGCTGGTTATTACGGGAAGTCTGCAGGGAAGGACTCCTCGGGAAGGTCAGAGGTGGCCCCGCAGCCGGGAGGACTCGGAGAGCCGAATGCCAACGGTAGGTGCTTTGTCTGGGCTACACACTGCACAAACAAGGCTTAACAAAGGGCCCTCTTAGTCATTTTATATATATTGCAAGAGTCAAGTAATTGCATTTTCAATCAGCTGCTCATGCTGGGAGGTTTTAGATAAATATATATATATATAAGAACAGAAAAAAAAAAAATAAGACCCAGTTCAGGTTTCTGAAAGCTGCTCCCCTTTTATGTGTAACTATCAATGTATATCAACCGGGTGTGCAATCATATTTATTGTCACTTTCATTCATGTCATGCCCTTGCTTATATGGCTTAGATATGAATTATTGACTGTTTCAGTCCTTGTTGTAAAGAGGGGGGAAGGGGGGGAAAAGTCAAGTACTTTGCAGCGTGCTAAAACAAGGCAGCTACGGCGGCATGGGAAAGCCCACAGA